AGATAACTGCCTGAAAATGCTCTGAAAGCCAGCTACACCAGAAACACGTCTTTAACAAATTCCAGTAGGCACAGCCATACACATGTGGGGGGCAGGTGCTCAAGCTTAAAAAATACACAAATTAAAATAAATAAATAAATACACAAGTTGAACACAGCAGCACTTGCATAGACTCACTGATCTTCCTCATCCTCTTTACTGATAGGTGGCCCGATGACACCCTGAACTAATAATTCATAATCTATTCTTTCTCAGCATCATGCTGCAGTTGGCAAAGGCAAAGTCAGTATTATAAAAAATGATAAGGGCAACTATATGACAGTCATTTTCAGAAGACTTTGAGCATTCCTAGGTTTTAGACTTGGATTTTTGCAGTTATACTCTATGAATGTGTAATATGGTGTACAGTTATCCAAACTAGTCTGATCCTCATGGACAAACTGACTCCATCACCTCTGGCTGTCTCAGTTGTTTTTTTCCTTTGCAGCAAGTCAGTGTAGAGTATCCACAGTGCCTGAACACCAGAACTATGGACGGATGATGGATGGAAAAACAAATACTTTACTGTTATGATCTATCAGGGTGGGTTCTATCTCATTTAACCTATTACCCAAGGAAAGAAACATTGTTTGAAGAAACATTTTCCCAGCTTCTGAATTACCACCAGCGCGTTATCAATGCCGAGGATCAGTTAACCACAGAGCAGAGGCTCTGCTCTGTGGTTTCCTTATCAAGCCGTCTTTGTTATATCCATCCCATATGGTGTCTCAGTCAAGTCTGTATTTTGTGGTGTCACACTCCCCTACAAGATCACATCACCACATGGTGATTGTCAGACCGCAGGCTTTGTTACATGCTTGTATTAGTGCTCTTCAGTCTTTGATATTGTCTCTGTCCTCTCCAATTATGAGTTTGGATTTCATCTTGGAACCCTGCTTGTGAGGAACTCATCTAACCTGAGGACCGTGGGATCATCTGGCTGCTCTCACCAGCTCCGGTGTGTCTTTCTTGAAAGGAAAGGACTTTTTTGTTCTTATTTGCAGATTCTCCGTCTGGATTCCCATTTGGAAATTCACATTCCACCAAAGTTTTTCTGTGTGCCTCCAACAAATGAGACTGTTGCAGTCAAGAACAACAATCACGGATTCTTCTCA